GGGGAGGCGGGACGGGGCGGGGCGCCCGCTGCTTCCCGGCCGCAGCCATGGCCGACGAGACCCCCAGGAAAGGCGCCCTGTCGGCGCTCGTCGGACACACCAACGGCCTCACCAAACCCGCGTCCCTCGCCGCGGCCGCCGTCTCCTCCAAGCCCGGCGGCGGCAGCGGCGGCGGCGGCGGCGGCGGCTCCAAGAAACTAGTGATCAAGAATTTCCGAGGTGGGTGCGGGGCGGGCGGCCGGGGCGGGGTCCGCGCCCCCAAGCCGCCGGAAGTGCGCGTCCTGGGGGCGGCGGGGAGCCAGGGTGCCTGGGAGCGGTGGGGAGCGGGGGTCTCGGGGAGGGGGGGTCCCCAGCCGCCGGAAGTGCCCGTCCGGGGCAGCTGGGGTCCCGGTAGCGGGGATCCCGGGCCGCCGGAAGTGCCCGTCCCGGGGAGCGGCGGGGAGCAGGGGTCCCGGGAGCGGGGATCCCCGGCCGCCGGAAGTGCCGGTCTTGGGGTGCCGGGGGTCCGGGGAGCGGGGATCCCCGGCCGCCGGAAGTGCCGGTCCCGGGGAGCGGGGGGGGGCCCCGGCCGCCGGAAGTGCCGGTCCCGGGGAGCGGGGGGTCCCCGGCCGCCGGAAGTGCCGGTCCCGGGGGAGCAGTGGGGGTCCTCCGGCCCGCGCGGGGGCTCCCCTGCCTCCGGAGTCGGTGGGCGGCGGGCAGCGCGGCCGCGTCCTTGAGCCGGGACCGGAGCCGCTCCCGAGCTCGTCGTGTGTAACGGGCCTTCCTGCACTTTCCACCCGCTGTCCCGGCCCCGCGGTGACTGGTGCCACCCAGACGTTCACGAGGTCGACTTGCTGAGTGAGACGCAGATTTGTGCACCTGTGTTTCCCTCCTCTCAGCGAAACGGAGATGGTTCGGCTGCGGAGTCTGTAACCCAAGACGGCGATAAATACAATGCTGGGAAAACCTCGTTTCTGTGTTCCTTACCTGTGTGCCTTTTAAGTGCTTTCTGTGGAGTGTTTCTTAAAGTCGGTCTGATTTCGTGTGGGTGCTCTTCCTCACTGGTGCTATCTGGATTCACAGACAGACCTAAATTGCCCGACAACTACACTCAGGACACCTGGCAGAAGCTTCACGAGGCGGTGAAAGCCATACAAAGTAGTACCTCCATCAGATACAACCTGGAAGAGCTCTACCAGGTGAGGCTCCGCCCGTGGCGAAAGGTAGACCTCGTTGGGGTTCGCACTGGGACACGAATGCGGAATGTTCGTAGAACTGCAGGACTTGAGGGCTGGTCTCGTGTCCGCTCCCTTACTCGGGTGCTTGGATATAACGTGTAAGTAAGTTACCCGACTCCAGTGGAGGGTGGCACAGACGTGGATGGTGTGGTCCTCGGGATTGCTTCAGAGCCGATAATGAAGGATGTCCTAGAAGTGCGAGACTTGCTCCTACAAGAGCAGTAGGAGTCCTATGACATCTGTCCCCCAAGTCATTGAGTGTTTTTGTTTTCTGGTGGTTGTGGGATTTTTATTTTTCGGGCTCATGCTACCGGGAAAGATATTTAAAGTTATCTCATTACAGGAGAAAGATACATTTCTGGTAGCCACATGACTCTCATCGTTTTCCAAATAATGCAACAAATTACTATTATAATTACGTTGTGTTATGTACGACACTTATTACGGTTTTACTTGTTAACATAGGTTTTCTCTCCATTTTGTTTTGTGATTATTGTAATTAAGATATGCAAACAGATTTTGTTACATTTCATTTAAAGATGTTCCATTTCTAACATAAATGGTCATAAGTAAATATTACTTTGCATTTTCTGTTTATCAGCAGACTGGCTTTTCCTGATCTTATTTCTCAAATAGCATTCATTAACTAGTCTATCACCTATGTTTTAGGTAACAATATGATACCACAATTTCTATGAAGAGACTTGAAGTAAAAATTTTTTGTTTGCCTAAAAGTGTTTGTTATAAAAATTGTGGAGATTACAAAAAAGTACAAAGGGGAAAATTAAAACCACCTATACTCCCACCACCCAAGGAAGACCACTATTGACAGTTTGATGGACATACATCCCCTCTTTGTATTAAGTTTGTGTGAGTTTATTATGTTTTTTGATCAACTTTTTAAGGTATACATATAACATGTACTTCAATAAGTTTTATATTGAGGTATAAATAACCATCACCACAATAAAATATAGAAGATTTACATCACTTCAAGGAGTCTGTTCCTTTCCCCTGACCCCATCCTTGCAGATCACTGATGTCCTTTCTGTTGGTACATTCTGCCGGTTCTAGAGTCTCGTCAGTGGAACCCGTATCCTGCAGTTGTTTGTACCTGGCGTCTTTCGCTCAGGCCTACTGCGTGACAGTAATTTGTTTGTTTGTTGCTGGGGAGAATGGGTGCCACCTTTCACCAGGGTAAGGGACATTTGGGTTTCCAGTTAGGGGTTATTATGAATCAAGCTGTTATGAATGTTAACGCCTAAGTCTCGTGTGGAAACGTGTTCCATCCCTCTTAGGTAAATATCTAGAAGTAGAGTCTCAGAGTCATAAGGGAAGGGTGTATTTAACTTTTTAGGACATTTTCTGTTTTCAAAATGGCTATACCGGGCGCCTGGGTGGCTCAGTTGGTT